GAGCGTCGTTATTAGAGCAGGATCTGAGCTGAGGGTGGGATCAGCTGATGATAAGTTACACGTGTTACAGTGCAAGGGTCTTACTTTACTCTAGTCTACCTCAAGAGCTGGACTATCACACTCACCAGTCTGATATGAGAGGTGCACAGGACTGAAGAGGAACAAGCCACCCCTCTCATATTGCTTTATTTTATTTTATTTTATCATAATTTCGGTTGTTTACTCCACCACTTTCACTTGAACCAAAGATGTCCTGCCTGTTGCTTGGAGTACTAAGGAGGTGAGTGTCTTATAGACATATTTAAACTACAATTGTATATTTAATATGTAATTATACATATTAATATATATATATATAATGTAATTATTATATATATGCTACATTTATTTATATATTAATATATTTACACATATAATATTTAATACAAGCTGCTATTATTCTCATATATTATTCAGATCATTTCATTTATTTTCTGGTTGTAGCTAAAAACAGTAAAAGAGAGAATGAAAGGTCTAGGTTTATTATTCTCCTGCAGTCTACAGTATCATCTTTCTTGGGTAAACATCCTTGTTGTATAGTTTCTTGTGAGATCAGATATTTAAACAAACTTAAACTGTTCTATAAAACATTTGTCAACACCCTGTACAATTACAGTGTCACCTCCCTTGTTTTAGTGGGGGTACTAAACTACAATAGTTTGTAATAATGCAGAATGATCTTTGATAGAGTTATATAAAAAATACAGAGTAAATTATAATACTCCAGAGTCCGGCAGTCTGGTATTGCCAAATAATGACATTTGCCACATATTACATGTCACTATTAGACTGAAACTAGTGTTATTGAGTGTGTCACGTACAGGAATGCAGCAACGTAAGTCACGTAGAGAAATGTTTAGAGACTCTATGTATCCAGAGTCTGAAAAACAGGTTATGAGTGAACAAATAACCATCACCTTTGACCACAAAAGCAAAGTCACAACAAGCATTTCTGAGTCATTTGTTAAACCGGAATGTTGAATATATTTAGAGATCAGTAACAAAGTGAGAATAATGATGTTGAACAAAAGATATCCATGCAGATCCATTTTATTGCATCTATATCTGCTCTGTCAATCTCTCACCAGAATGAGTGATTACATCAGCACAGGACTTCAAGTAAATATGCACAGTGTGAAAGTCTCTACTAGCTAAACTTTACCCTGCAAGATGCATGATACCAGTATCTGATTGTTAATCTGACGTATATGTGTGTATGTGTGTGTTTTGAGTGAAAGGGTCTACTAACTTGTTTAAAAAGTTATTTTTTGTACTTAAACGCCCTTGAGGTATAGCTCTAATGCATGCATGAGGTTTAAAATGAAAAGCACCCTTTTGGCTGAGTTTTATTATTTCACGTTTCTCAAATTGTTACGTGTGTTTTGTGTTCATGCATGAACATAGTGTGCTTGAAGTGGCCATACCCTGTTTAACCAGACTGAGGGGAGGGGAGGGGAGTGAATGCCAAGGAGGCCATCTGATTGGTTGGTTCATGTGGGGGTGTGTTTAACTGCCTATGATAATTGATGGTTTAAAGCTCAGTGGTTATTGATGAAAGTCAGGATCATGGGGGTCAAAACCATGATAGACTCAAAGACATTGTTCTAGTTAAGTTCATATACTTTTTAAGGCTTTTGAAAACAATAGAGGGGAATTATGGGGTAGGGAGTGTGGCAATTGGGGTGGGGGTTTGTGCTGAACTGAATCAAAGGGTAAAGGAAAGGAACTCCTCTTGCTATCCTTCAAATATTCTCTTAATTATAGCCAACAGGCCTTGCAGTCACGAGCCGTCTTGTTAATTGAATATGCTGACCGTGCTCAGCTCACGAACACTGTTAAAGAATGACAAGCTGGTCTCAGATGATTTTTGACCCATATTTTAGTTCAGAAAGCAGAGGATTGAATGGCAAGAACAAAAAGGTCTCTCGTCTAGCATGAAACCTTTGTTCTGTTTTTGCTTTTTTGTTTGCTCACTGAACTTGTGGTTTTTCCTTTCTTTAGCTTTCTCTCTCTCATTTTTCTGTTTTCATGTGAGAAATACTGATAGAGAATATCATCTTCTCCCCCTCATCCTTTTTTTTTTGTCTTTATCATGCATTTTATTCAGTTTATTGAGATGGTATGCATTCTATCAGTTTGTGCATTCCCTGGGAATCAAAGCCATGACCTTGGCTTAATATTGTAAATTAAAAGTACAATAAATTACTTGCTGTAAATGGAAAAAATATATATTTTCAGACAGTGATAAAAAAAATATTTTGCAGAAAAAGGCGACTTAAAATCTGAACTGGGCTGCAAACCTTTGACTATACTGTTAAAAATTATTTTTTGAAGTTGTAAATAAAACACATTATTGGAGCATGTTGTACAAGAAAACAAGTTTTTCTATTTAAAAAAGAAAATCTGTTTTTATTTAATGTGTTACCGGTACTTGCCGTTTTCTTGTAATTGTTTGTGAAATTCACTAGCAATTTCTGATTGAACATTTTTTTTCTGTCTTCAGTGTAGTACAGTACATGTAATGCATTTCATTCCAAAGGACACTAATTAATCTTGCAGCTTCTTAATCACTTATCTTTCAGTTCCGGTCAAAGATCTGTGTTAAAGTACATTTAGTGGTTATGATGCAACATTCATAATGACATGCTACCAGCTCAAATATATTTTAATCAATGTATTATTACAATTATCAATGTAACATGTCATGGATTACATAGATCATCTGCTTTATACATTATCTACAGTCTTTAGCTTAGACTTTAAACTGAGTTGGCTTTATATTATCCACCTTATTTTTAACCATAAGAGCGTTCACATTTTTGATAGAATGTGTAAGACTTCCGGTGTCATACTGCCATCAGCTTCTAGTTATTTTAGCTGTACAAACACAGTCCATTATTTTGCTTGATATTGCAAACTGTTAATTGTTATCATAGTATTTAAATTATAGTAATAAGCACACTGGTTTGTAGTGCAAATACATTTGCCGTTTACCGCTTTCACTTTTATCCTCGTTATTTATACTTAGAGCAGCTTGGAAGGCTAGCACATTCACCAGAAATAGCTTACTTTCTGTCAAAAATACAAGGTGGATTCCAACTTAGATTAGGCCGTTGTGAGGACACACTCTCTTTAATAAGGCTACGTCCACACGAAGCCAGAGCTTTCCCTATTCAATCTTTTTTTTCCCCTCGTCTCAAGAAATATCTGCGTCCACACGAAACCACGAAACCGACACAAAATGATGTAGTAGCAGAATAAACATTGCACATCTATGAGCAACACATGGTAGCCATGTGTTTCGTTCCTGTGTGAATGGGTGTTTTTGAACGAATTCAGTCGTTTCGTTCCTGAATGAATCAACGTTTTGAACCAATCTTCTGAGTGAATGATTCAAATGACTCATAAAGACAGTGACTTGTCGCCTCCTGCTGGTGTATTGATGTTACTTTACAGAGATCGCTGAATAATTCCCACCACTAATACACAGAATGATACAAACGGTGAGAAGTCACTTGTTGCGTCCCAATTCGCCTACTTATACTATGCCCTAAAAGTATGTACTCTTTTTGTGAAGAAAAAGTACATACTTTTGAGTATGTAGCAGAATAGTAGGCTAGCTTTGGGACATACTACTTCGTCATAGCTGCTTTTAACAGACGCTCTGTTGCTTAGTTACGTGCATTCTGTGACTGTTTAAACTGCACTGCCAATCATCTTGTCACAGTTAACATCATCCACATTTCGTTTAATTTGATTTCCTACCGTATTGGAGAGAAATGAAGAGGCACGTTGATCTGCCAGTCGCGGGTCTATCATGCCGAGAACTCTGCTCATATGTTTGCATAATGATGCATTTAAAAGTTAATGACCAAACGTATCATTATAAAAGTTCACAGTGTTGCTGCAGATGAAATATAACGTGGATAACATTAAATTAATATTTTTCATCAGGTTAGACATTGATTATTTATCACTCAAATCCCTTTCTCTACCTGTCCGTCGGTCGCGTATATCGCCATGTTTGTAATTTTTAACAGTTTTTATGCGTGTTTGTAGTTCTAATCGAATCCTAGTCCACCGCGCAATGTGTTGTGGGCAATATTAGCCGTTAGAGTGTGCACGGATCTGCACTTCGAATTCTAACCGGAAGTAGTAAGACCATCCGGGAATCTTTGGCATACTTTTTTAAACATACTATGAATTGGGACATACTAATTCTATTTTCGAATACTATTTAGGACGGATAGTATGCGAATTGGGACGCAGCAACTGTGTTGTTGGACTGTATATCAACACACTAACTATTAATAAGATACATTTAAGTTTGTATGGTCTGTGAATTTTTGTAAAATGTTTACATGCATAACTAACTTAAAAGCTCAAATGTATCGCGATTAATCGCAAACGTTTTTGTTTACATAATATATGTGTGTGTACTGTGTATATTTATTATATCTTTATAAATACACACACATACATGTATATATTTAAGAAAAATATGTTATGTTTATATATTAAATATATTTATCTGTAATATAAATCATATAAATATATACATGTAAATATTTTCAATATATATACTGTATGTGTGTATTTATATATACATAATAAATATACACAGTACACACACATATATTATGTAAACAAAAACTTTTATTTTGGATGCGATTAATTGTTTGACAGCACTAGATGCATGCTATTTACAGACCATATCTATATGTTGTTGTACTAATGTCTGTGTGTGTCCATACAGGTGGAATGCCATCAGTACAGCTTCAATGGGTGTGCGGTCACTCGCCTCCATCCCCTCTCTGCCCCCGTCGGTGGCGGAGTTTGTGTCGGGCGCTGTGGCTGAATGTAAACCTACTAAAGTGCACGTGGTCACAGGCACTCCAGAGGAGACAGCAGACATCCTGGCCAACCTGGAGAAAGAGGGCATGGTGAAGAAACTCAGCAAATATGAAAACTGGTAAGTGCTTCTTTCAAGTCTCATCATTAGTTTTTGAACCAATACTGATGATAATATGAATGATTTTACATTGCCTTAATCCTGATTTAAATTTCTACTCTTTTCTGTGTGCAGCTGGCTGGCACGTACTGACCCCAAAGATGTGGCTCGTGTGGAGAGTAAAACTGTGATTGTCACTAAGGACCAAAGAGACACTATTCCCATTCCCACCGGAGGTGCCAAGTCCCAGCTGGGCAGCTGGATGAGTGAGGAAGACTTTCAGAAAGCCAGAGAGGACCGCTTTCCTGGCTGCATGGCAGGTGTGTATTACTTAAACCACTGAACAATAACTGAAACCTGTCAAATAGTTCCTTCAACCACCAGAAAAATGTTGTGGAAAATATGTCTTAAATAAAAATAAATATTAAAATAATTATATTAAATAATATAAATATGATTTATTATATAAATATATTCAATATTATTTTATATATTACTAAAGATTATTTAGAATTATATAAAACATGATTTAATTTAAATATTACAAGTATTAAATATTCGAAATATTTTTTAACATATCAAATATAACAATATATATCAATGAATATGTTCAATAATAATGACACCACTGAAATCCAGGGATCTGAATCAGCTCTTTAAAATGCTGAAAGAGCACTCGTCTATATTGTGCAGCTGGATATATGCCCGGTTATAATGCTCTTCTCCATTATTTGATCATCATTTGATAAATAACTGCTGCCATGATCAATAGTAAATGTACACAAAGCAGAGCTCTCGTAAATCAAATTCAGTTTGCTGTGGCACCTGCCTTCCATAGACAGCAATAGTGCAATGTTAACTGTGTCAAGCAAATAGAAATATTATATATAACAATTCTGACTTGTATAGAAAAGAGGCTTGTGTGCGCTGAGACGAATAACAGAATCCTGTCATTAGAGCTTCATTTGTATTTTACCTGACATATTCCTTATATGTCCGAATATCCATCAAATTTTTCATCAGTCCACACACTCATGTAGGATAGTCTGGGACAATGAAAGGAAACTTTCAGAATGCCCAAAACATCTCTTCAGTATTTGTGTCTTTCTGTCCCTCTATAGGACGCACTATGTATGTGATCCCCTTCAGTATGGGCCCTGTGAACTCTTCTCTTGCTAAGTTTGGTGTTCAGGTGACAGATTCTCCATATGTGGTGGCTAGCATGGGCATCATGACACGCATGGGGACTCCTGTGCTGGAAAAACTAGCCGAGGGTGCGGAGTTTGTGCGCTGCCAGCACTCTTTGGGCCGACCTTTACCACTCAAAGGTACCTTACTGCTTTATTTTAATGTCAAATTAAATGTAAATGTGACTCAGTCGATCAAATGAAACTCTAAATTTCACCAGTTCCTTCAAATGATCGACTGTGTCACTTTATTTGCCACATTGTTTATTATTTTCAAATGTTATTTGGCTTAGTACATTACCTTACAAATGTTTGGGGTCAGTAAGATTTTATGTTTTCGAAAGAAGTCTCTCATGCTCACCAAGGCTGCATTTATTTGATTAAAAATACAATAAACACAGCTCTATTGTGAAATAGTACTATCATTTAAAATAAATTGTTTTCAAATTTGATATATTTTGAAATGTAATTTATTCCTGTGATGGGGAAAAAAATGAATTTCCATCAGCCATCACTCCAGTCTTCAGTGTCACATGCTCCTTCAGAAATCATTCTAATATACTGATTTGCTGCTCAAGAAACATTTCTTATTATTTCCAATGTTGAAAACAGTTGTGCTGCTTAATATTTTTTTGTGGAAACCGTGATGCATTTCGTCAGGATTCTTTGATGAATTGAACGTTTAAAAGAACAGCATTTATTTGAACTATAAATCTTTTGTAACATTATAAATCTCTTTACTTCTGATTAATTTATTGTGTCCTTGCTGAATAAAAGTATTCATTTATAAAAAGAAAAAAACAACTTTTAAACGGTAGTGTATGTATATATATTTTTCTCATCAATATCTTATCTTTCTGTGTTCGTCCCTCACAGCTCCTTTAGTAAACAGCTGGCCTTGTAACCCGGACAAGGTGTTGATCTCACATCTTCCTGACACCAGACAGATCCTGTCCTTCGGCAGCGGTTACGGTGGAAACTCGCTCCTTGGAAAGAAGTGCTTTGCTCTTCGTATCGCCTCACACATTGCCAAAGATGAAGGCTGGTTGGCTGAACACATGCTGGTATGGGACATCAGATAGAATTCCCAGATTTGTCTTGCTTATCCCCTATTAGACATTTGAGTTTAATGAAAGTTTACAACCTTATATATTATATATTAGCCATATCGATCAAGTAACAGTGCATTGTACTTATGTACTACTCTTTTAGCTGGAGTCATCATTTGTAAAACATTATGTTGATAGACGTCACTGTTTCTTTCTCCACCAGATTCTGGGAATCACAAATCCTCAGGGTGTAAAACGTTACATTGCAGCAGCGTTCCCGAGCGCTTGTGGGAAAACTAACCTGGCCATGATGAAACCAGCGCTGCCAGGCTGGACGGTTGAGTGTGTGGGCGATGACATTGCCTGGATGAAATTTGACAGTCAGGGTGAGAAATATGACTTGTCCTAGACAACATATGCATCTGTTGACATAGCATGGCAAGTGTGGGTTTATGGGCAGCCAGGAAATGACACCATATCTTTTATTTGAGCATTTTTATTGGGCAGCAGAAAGAGAACTAATTAAAATAGAAATAAGTACACGGCTCTCAGTAAACAAAACACACAGTTGCTGAGAAACAGTTTTGCCATATAGTGTTGATTGGAATACTGTTGTTTATGGTTATAGAGACAGTGGTGTATTTTGACTCTCTTCACCAGGTAAACTCAGAGCCATTAATCCAGAGAATGGTTTCTTTGGAGTTGCCCCCGGGACGTCCCTGAAGACAAACCCTCATGCCATGGCAACCATCTCCAGGAACACAGTGTTCACTAACGTGGGAGAGACCAGTGATGGGGGAGTTTGGTGGGAGGGTCTGGAACCACCTGCACCTGGAATCAAACTCACAGACTGGCATGGAAAATCCTGGAAGTATGGTAAGATTGTTTAGTAAACGCATTTTTACAAAATATCAAAAAGTTCTTAGAAACATTTATATTCTTATATTTGTAGTCTGCAACATTTATATATAAACCTTTCAAAAACAACAAATAATATCATGTATTTATATAGTAAATAAAATGACCTATTATTATTGTTATATGGACAGCATCTGTGGCATGGTGTTATAATGGAGTTGGTTTATCTCTTCTTGTGTTTCTCAGGTGATTCTACACTGTGTGCTCATCCGAACTCTAGGTTTTGTGCCCCAGCTGGCCAGTGCCCCATCATAGACCCACTCTGGGAAAGTGATGAGGGCGTCCCCATTGATGCCATTGTATTTGGTGGAAGAAGACCAGAAGGTGGGTAGTATCACTGAATCAAAACTGTATATTTAAAATGCACATATTATGTAAGAAATTAATACATTTAAGGCCCATTCACAATTAACTAAAACCATAAAAAAAACAAAAAAAAAACATGTTTGTTACCTGAAATAAAATAAACACACACACAACAAGTGGAAAATACAAAATAGAAAATATAAAAACCTTTTTCAAAATATTAATAAAAACTAGAATAGTATCTTGATACTAACACTGTTTCATACCAAGGACAATAACTATAACAATAATGCTAAAAATATCGTTTTAAAATCTTTCTAAATTTAAAAGAATAGCATTGGCACAAAGGAAAGATATCATTGGAATCACTTTTAAAATATCAATTTTTTTCCTGCTGATGAACGATAACATTGACAGCCAATCAGAATCCATCCTGCTTTAAGGAGCTCAGGCATTTAAAGTGGCAGATGACAAAACTGCAGAGCATCATTATAAGTTGGTGTGGATGCTATTTATCATTATTTATTGCTCGTTATCGTCATAGTTAACATTCTTGGTGTAAACAGTAAGGATGCATTAAATAAAAGGTTACAGTTAAGACATCTATAAATTTACAAAAAAAATTAATTTCACATAAATGCTGTGCTTTGCCATCACGGGAATGAATTACATTTTGAATATATTAAAACAAAAAGCAGTTATACTGTAATAATATTTCACAATAATGTCATTATTACTGCATTTTCAATCAAATAAATGCACCCTTGGTGAACATAAGAGACTTCGAAAATATTTAAGAAAGCTTACTGACCTCGAACTTTCTAACAGTACTGTATATATACATAGACATATGTTATACATTATACCTTAAAATGTACCTGTCTTTTTTCCCAGGTGTGCCTTTGGTGTATGAGTCATTTAACTGGCGTCACGGTGTGTTTGTGGGTGCAGCCATGAGATCTGAATCCACAGCTGCTGCTGAACACAAAGGTACAAATTTTCATTTCTCCATATGGTAAACAGTACACAAAAGTGTACACTACTTTTAAGCACTTACTGACAAACTGAGCAAAAAGCTCATACTGATATTTACACATTATAATATATGGCTAATTTTCTTTAGGTAAAGTAATCATGCATGACCCCTTTGCCATGCGTCCTTTCTTCGGTTACAACTTCGGTGACTACTTGGCCCACTGGTTGAGTATGGGGACGCGCAAGGGCCAGACCCAACTCCCCAAGATCTTCCACGTCAACTGGTTCCGGAAAGATCAGAAGACCGGCTCTTTCTTGTGGCCAGGGTTTGGAGAGAACGCCCGCGTCCTCGAGTGGATCTTCAAACGATGCGGCCGTACCAGTAAAGACGAGGCTGCCACCAAAAGCATTGTGGGATGGATTCCACAAAACGGTGCCATAAACACAGAAGGCCTAGGTGGAAATATCGATATGGGTGCCCTCTTTGACCTGCCCAAACCCTTCTGGCAGAAGGAAACACAGGAGCTTCGGACCTACTTCGCCCAGCAGGTTGGAGCTGATCTGCCCGCACAAGTGGAAGGAGAGCTGAGGGCGCTGGAGGAGAGAGTGAGGGATTGAACAGATGCTACATTACATTGATGTTGTGCAGATGTGAAGAATAGGATGGGATGAGGTGGAGGTAACTGTTTTAATGTGACTGTTGCACTGCAGTGGATGCTGCACCTGAGAAACACAAAACCAAAAAGTTCACAAGATGCCATCAGTGTTATCAATACCTAGGTGCCTTATTTGATCTTACAGTAGAAGCTAAAAACTCTATTTAATGTTTATAAACTATGTCCCAAAATGTCTTTTAGATTATTTTACTAAAACAAGACCACATTATGAATTTAAACCACAGCATCTTCAAAATATATATAGTTTAAGAGCACACT